ACATATATATATATATGTATATACAGTATGGAACAAAGAGGTCACATGACCGGATACTGTTGCAAGACTTAGAAGAGGTATCTTGGCACTCCAGGGGTGTTGGTTTAGAGTAGGGTTGTTTTGTTAAATTAAGAAGGATTCCTTGATTTTTTGTTTGTTTATGTTTGGTTCTTTGTTTAAAATGACTGTGTTTTTAATAGATATACTATGGTGTTTTGAGTTGCAATGGTGAAAAACATGGGACGGTTTTTCATTGTGTTCTGTAAGTCTGGTTTCCAGTTTTCTTCCTGTTTCTCCGATGTAGAATTCTTGGCAGTATTGCATGTTATTTTATAAATGACGTTGGTGTTATGCATATATCGATTACACCAAACTCAACGGAAAAGGAATGGAGACTAGACATGACTGTTTTACTTTCAAATGAAAACAAAATGCGTGTTATTAATGTATAAAACATCATAAAGAAACGTGCAAGTCTTGTGCGTCTATTTATGCATATGCCAGCACACCAGACGTCACGACACGGAAATTATCGACTTTGTTAGTGAACTAGCGACATTGAGAAGCAGGGGGTCTGCACTATGGTAACTTTGACGACGTGTAAAGGCATCATTAAAGCTATTCACATCCATGGGTGTCCACAGCAGAGGGGGGGTAAGATGGGGCACTTCCCCCACCTGGAAAATGATAAACATAATTATTTCTTTATTCTTATTCACTCAACATATGTATATTAATTTTTTATTCACTTAACAATTTCACACTACTTTGCCCCCACCATATCTGGATACGCATCCTGTTCGTGCAAAACTTCTAACAGCAGACTACCTGTACCGAAATTTAAAAGCTAGTTTGTACAGAGATATTTTTGTTTTACTTTTTTACGCCATGAAAAATGTTACAGTCATAATACGTGTATATCACATCAGGTCTTAACTCTTATTCTACAGTTTAGTGTTTCTCAACCACCAGTCCGTGAGATTTCAGGAAAAAAAAAACTAACAGAATATTCATATGTAAATCGTAATGGTTTTCCTTTTTGTGTTTGCATTTTAGCGATTGACGACAACTTAGGGAGACAGTGAGCTGGTCCTTGGTATCGAAAAGTTGAGAAACACTGTAGTGTATCGTACGTATAAAAGGCAATCCATTTCTTATATTACCTTGATTCATTTAGGAAATCAAAAAACGTTGACATTTCATGCATATAGTGTCACTGTGTGAATTCTAAATTATATTTACTTGAATCTTTCATTCATTTCTACTTTAATTACAGAGGCGTAGGAAACGGAGGACCGGGAGAGGCGAGCCCCTCACTTTTCAACCTGTCCCAGTAAAAATGCATAAAAATTTGGAAAACGATTCTCAGGAAAAGCAGGAGAAGGCGTACAATTTAATCTAGAACCCAATAGCTTCCAGGGCCCCAAAGCAAGTCTTGGACCCCGGTTGTAACGGCGCACATTCCCTTGCTTCACCCCCCCCCCCAAATTTTGTTTGTAATTAAGCACAAAGCTACACAAGGGCTATCTGTGCTCTGCCCACCACGGGTATCGAAACCCGGATTCTAGCGTTGTAAATCCGCAGACATACCGCTGTGCTACTGGGGGGGCAAAGTTTAATTTTGCCTCCTACATCTCTGCATTATATATTGCTATTGTTGTTCTGTTTTTTTTTTCAGGAAAATGTGCCCCTTTTTATGAGTAAGCACAAGAAACGTTTAACAGTTATGATACAACTTTACGCTACAGTAAATAAGCCAGAAAATGTCGTGAAAATTCAACCCAAATTTTTGTATCCTCATATTAATTTTTAGGCACAACTTAAAGAACCCTTCTCTTTCAGTGTATTTTAATAATCAGCTCTTTAAAATTTCCTTAAATCCATGGATTTGTACAAAACAATTCTCAGAGAATAATACACGTAAGTTAATGATTTAAAAACGAAGCCAACTTATTTTAGTTGTACAGATACTCAAGTATCTTCTCTATTAATTCACGCAGAAGACGAACTTGTTTGTCCACAAACTCCTCTATCCCTTTTAGAGCAAGCAGGACAAAACTGGACATTTGTATTCGGGGTGTCCTTATCTGTATGGCGTATAATAGTACTGACTGCTTGTTTGTTTTCTGTTACGCACAATGCTACACAGTGGACTATCTGTGCTGTGCCTAACACAAGTATCGAAACCCGGTTTTGAGAGTTATAAGCCTTCAGACTTACCACTAGGAGGGGAGGGGGCAAGACTGATTGCAGCATTGATAACGAGCCAACAGCTGGAAGTGCAGGGTGTGTCCAGCGACATCTCGGCTCGGTCCTTGGACTTGTTTTTTCTGCAGCCCGGCACATTAACGAATAGGCCACGCTCAGCCCTAACTTTTAGAGACAGTTCTATATTTATTCGTCGTTTTTATGAAATGTGTAATCAATATTCGTCTCTTGTGGAAAACGAAACTTCCACAGAATTTTATTTCTCAACTCTAAATAGTCATTCTTTTAAAGAAAGTTGAATTTTGTTGAATATATTGGTTTATTTATCGTGGATTGTAGCAATAGTAAACATGGATTTATTTTTATAATAAATACGTTGCTTCATTGTGCATGGAATCTGTTAACGGTTACGAAGAGAAGTAATCTAAGTCATGATTGACTGGTATATATACCAAAGATATAGAGCTAAAAGTTCACCAAAGAGGGCGTGATTTATTATAATTTTTTCTCTTCTAAATATACTGTTTATATTGGGCTTCAGTGCCTTTAATTTCATCGAAATAAGTTCCATGAATAATAAAACAAAAAGAACCTATATTATATTTTCAAACATGAGCGCATTCATACAGTTGTAAATAAGATGGTAATACCATCTCACCGGTTGTTTATACATATGTATGTGTATATAATACTTTTTGTGAGAATATTCCTGGAATATGCATTTATTGTAGAACCTAATGACAGCTTTCTGTGGGAATACTGTATTCAAGTTTCACCTGGCGTGTCAGGTGAAATCGATGAGTTACGTCTTAGTGACGTATTTATGCGAGAGTTGTAAGACACGCAGTATAATTCCAAACGACGCTGTATCTGGACGTTTCAAAGATCTGGAGACTCACAAATTGTAAGTGAATTTGTTTCTCTTCGCTTTGTGTATCATATATATAAGAGGTAATGAATTAAAGCACTGGATTAAGTACCGGTGAGTGTCAGATAACAATTTGGGTTTGACATCAAAATAGCATTTAACATTCGTTTGAGAACTTTCTGTCTGTCTGTCTGTCTCTCTCTATATATATGTGTGTGTGTGTGTGTGTATTAGATAGAGCGACAGGTGATACTTTTTTTGTTTAGGTAAGAACAGTTTTATCTCATATCTAGTCGTAAATAAACTTTGTTCAATATATATCAGCTTTCATCAATGATAAGAGTATCTTGGTAGAGCTATGGATTTCGAAGCTGGAGAGCAGAGTTCGAATCAGTGCGATACCGTCAAATATGCCCCACGTCGTAAATTGTGGGGGCGTTATGAGAGTAACAGTCAATTCCTTATTATGACTAGTAAGTGGTAGGATGCTGCTGACCGGCTGTTTACCCTCTGGTCAGTAGTTCAGAATTAAGAAGGGCTTAAGTCGAATTTGTTTGTGGTTAACCACAAAGTTACACAATGGCCTATATGTGCTCTGCCCACCACGGGTATCGAAACCCGGTTTCTAGGGTTGTAAGTCATCAGACATACCGCTATGCGACTGGGGGGGATAGGAGTAGAACTGATATAAATAAAAAACACAAACATTTTTTGTTGCATTAGGAACTACAATTTTCAATGAGCGTACATAAAATATTACATGCCACTTGCAAGTAACGTTGGAATTATATTTTGATTGAGAACATTTTAATTAAACCAATATTGATTATATCTGTGTGAATATATATCTATCTATGTATGTGTTTTATGTATAACAAAACGAAGGAAAATAATTTAACACGTATGCTATAGAGCACAACATAACCAAATCCTTTAGAAACTGCTCTGCAACTGTATAGATATTTATAACCTTCACAAAATTACAAATACAATATATGACCCCTCCCCCCCCCCAAAAAAAAACGCACACAAGTTTTAGCGTCTAGGGCCGGGCGTGTCCCACTGGTTCGCGTCCCAATGCCTCAAAATGGCACTCTGAATGTTGGGTCTGCGTACATGCTAAAAATAAGAGTGACAGTCAGATACCACTAAGGTGAAGAGAAACTAATGTTTCTGACCGCACCTTGATTATCTTTCAGGCCCACTTTGGCCAAAATAACTCTCAAGAAGATTGGATTGAATTGAGATACCACCATTCAGTTAAATTAGCCCAAGAGTTGGGGGTGGGTACTGTTGACTAGCTCCCTTCCCTCTACTCTATCAGTTCAAAATTAGGTACAGCTAAAGCAGAGAGCTATGGGCACCGGAAGAGCTGTAAAACGGGGGTGGGGGGAGGTGGGGCAATCATGTGGAGGCTCTGACCATACATGTTTTTTATTTGTGCAATATTAGGAAAATTATTTTAACCATGAAGTACGGATTGAAGTACGGGAGTACTGAGCAGCTAGTGGTGCTGTTGGATGAATGCTGCAACAAGGACTATGGTTGAAAGCTTTATAACTTCAATAAACACGTGTTGCTGCCGGTTTCGTTTTATTTATTAGCATGTTTTAACACAGCAGCAACCGAATTCATGGTTGCCATCAACTGTGCTTTTCAGCAACTCTACAATTAATATTGTTCCACAGACAATAGTAACAGTCAGTGCCTTGGATACAGAAATTACACCGTACAAGAACAACTTCACTGACCTGTAATAAATCACCTTTATCAGTGAAACAAAGATTGTAATTAAGCGAGATAAGCAAAAAACGAGACTGTAATGTCGCAAATGAAATTAGTAAACAAAAAATATGATCATTATAGTTGTTAGCATAACTATAACCAATAGAAAAATCCAAAGTTCGAGTTGTAAATATGTTCCACACTGTCAGCTGCGAGCGTCTTATATAAATGACAGTCAATTCCATTGTTCTGTTCATAGAGCTGGACTAAGCTTTTTTTGGCGGCGGTCCTTTTGGTCAGGTGGTCAGTAATTCAAAATAAAGGGCAGTTTTACGTGAACACTAGAAATATATGAATTGGCCGTTTAATTCATAAGGTGTCCTTCAGGCAGACCCGCCGACAGGGGGAGGGGCAAAAGGGGCAACTAACCAGGGGCCCATTTGAATGAAACCTTGTTGTGTCGTAAAGTCCACAAAGTACCTTTAGGCCATATCTTTATCTAATCACGAAAATCATAGTTTTTGGCTTTTCTTTCGATATAGATGTTTGATACATTAAGAATGATTGAAATAACAATTTGAGTAATAATTAATATATATTTGTTACTTTATAGATTTAATGAATATTTGTTGTTACTTTATTAACGTTTTTATACTTATACTGTGAGCTAAAATCGGCTGCTGCTATGATTTTGCCTTGTTTATGAGCTGTCCTAATTTAGAATGGGCTTTTTAATAAGTTCTTTAAAATGTTAAAAAACACAGAGAAAGGGGGCCTGGCGAGAATGTTTGCCCTGGGGCTCGTGCTGGCTCTCGACGCTCCTGCCTTCAGGTTTGGCCCGGCATGGCCAGGTGGTTAAGGCTCTCGACTGGCAATCTGAGGGTCGCGGGTTCGAATCCCCGTCACACCAAACATGCTCGCCCTTTCAGCCGTGGGGGCGTTATAATGTGACGGCCAATCCCACTATTCGTTGGTAAAAGAGTAGCCCAAGAGTTGGCGGTGGGTGGTGATGACTAGCT